ATAGAATCCAGGGCCACCAGCCCAGGATGGCACCACTCACAATGGGCTGGCTCCTCACCCATTAGTCACTACTTAAGCCGTGGTTCTCAACCTGTGGCTTGTGGCCTCTTTGAGAGTCTAATGACCCTTTCATAGGGGTCACATATCAGATATTTACATTTCGATTCATAAGAGTAGCAGGATTACAGTTATGAAGTAGCAATGGAGATAACGTTATGGTTGGGGTCACGACAACATGAGGAACTGTATTAAAGGGTATTAAACTGTATTAAACTGCATTAGGGAGGTTGAGGTTACCCCACAGACTTGTCTGCAGCCTGATCTTATGGAGGCGCTTTCTCAGCTGAGGCCCCCTTCTCTCAGATGACCCGAGTTTGTATCAGGCTGACATAAAAACCAGTCAGCACAGTCCCTTTGGCAAGTTCCTTTGAGAGTGAAACACCGCTCTGAGGTCCCGATGGAACCAAGGGACTGCAGTTTTCTTTCTTTCCTCCTGTGTCTGTGTCATCCTGGGGGCAGCTTTCATGGAAACAGGGCAAAGGTGAAAGCTGTATGCCTGCTGCCACCTGGTTTGATTCCACCCACCCTTAGGAATCATAAGGCTAGGGTGTGCAGTCTGGGTCTTTCAAATGAACCTATGAACACACATTATGGATAGTCCACTATCTGTACAAAAACCCAGATTTTAAAGCTCCTTTAGTTTCTATAAAGGGCAGAACTCATCACCTTATTTAGCCCACATATTGCTGGGATATTGTTAAAAAAAAAAAAAACTAGAAAGATCACACTAGAAAGCTCACTGTAGCACAGTTAGACGCCGGTCTCTGAGGGCCATGCAGGGCCACGCTGTTGGAGTCATTTATTTGTGTCGCCCCCTGGTGTCTGTACCTACTAACACATGTCCAGCCCATCACACAGGATGGTAAACGCTTCAGGATAACCTAGGCCAACAAGACGGCTCAGGGCAGTGCTTGCAGCCGACCCTGCTGACCTGAGTTCAGTCTCTGAAGTTCCGTGTGATCGAAGGTGAGAACTAACTCCTGAAGGTTGTCCTCCGACTTTCACACTTCATAGAATGGACACCCATGCGCCCTGCAACCCCTAACACAAAATAACATTTTGAAGAATTAAAATTAGCTTCTAGGCTTGGAAAGGTGGCCCAGTGGTTAGCAGTACTTGCTGCCCTTACAGAGGAGCTTAGTATGGTTCCCAGGACCCACCTTGGGTAGTTCACATCTGCCTGTGATTCTAGCTCCAGGGGACCTGGCGCCCTCTTTTGTCCCTACAAGCACTTGCACTCATGGGTACACACCACCCCACAAAGGCATGATTAAAAATAAAATAATTTAAAATATAAAGTGTTTCCGCACAACACTGAAAATGTTGTACTTGTGCGTTAATATTTACTTGGTTTATCAAAAGCATAAATACACGGTTCTTGTTCTGTTCAAAGGCCAGGAGCCTTGTTTTTGTTGAAAGAACTGTATAAGTGGGTATAAGACACACTCCGTAAGTGTGTGTATCAGTGTATCTTGGTGAGTGTCAACATTTGTCTACATATACCTATGAGGAGACTAAGGTCAGAATCTGAACCCCAAAGCATTCCCACCCCAAAAAAAGAATCACTATGTTGACGTCCGCCACCATCAGTTAATCAATCACGTAGAAATCTCACCTGCAGATGAGGCAGCTGCTTTTATTGAGGAGGCTTCAGAGGCCCCAGGCCTACAGAACTCAGGCCCATGGAACCCTTGGTCCACAGAGCCTCAGGCCCATGAAGTCCCAGGTCCACAGAACTCAGGCCTAAAGAGCCCCAGGTTCACAGAACTCCAGGCCCATGGAGTTCCAGGTCCACAGAACCCCTGGCCCATGGAATCCCAGGCGCACAGAACTCTGGCCCATGGAGCCCCAGGTCCATAGAGCCCCAGGTCCACTGAGCCCCAGGCCCACACAACTCCAGGCCCATGGCGTCCCAAGCCCACATAACTCCAAGTCCATGGACTCCCAGACCCATGGAACCCTAGGTCCATGGAGCCCACAGAACTTCAGGCCCCCTGTGTCCCAGGCCCACAAAGCCCCAGGCCCACAGAGTTCCAGGTCCACAGAACTCTGGCCCATGGAGCCCCAGGTCCATAGAGCCCTAGGTCCACCGAGGCCCAGACCCACACAACTCCAGGCCCACGGAGTCCCAGGCCCACGGAGCCCCAGGTCCACACAACTCCAGGCCCACGGAGTCCCAGGCCCACATAACTCCAAGCCCATGGAGTCCCAGACCCATGGAGCCCTAAGTCCATGGAGCCCACAGAACTCCAGGACCACTGTGTCCCAGGCCCACAGAGACATAAGCCCACCAAGTCTTATCTCCTGCTGATATTTGCTTCTCTCTCCATGACCCACTTCTGGAACTCTGGCGTACTCCCCTCTCCTATTTATATTGTGATAATACATACACACACGACATAAAGCTTTTCTGTTGGTCCTGTCTCTTTGTCGGATACCCGAGGACAGCTCGGAGGGGACTTACTTATGTTGACTTATGATTTTACATAAGCTCTTGGCTCTTGGCTCCGTTGATCCTGGGTCTGTGGTGAGGGAGAGCGCGCGCCCTGGTGGTGAGAGAATGAGGCCGAAACTGCTTGCCTCATGGCAGCAGGACACAGAGAATGCGCACACCTGAGCTAGCAGGCGGCCCTCTTCCCACCTTTACTCCATCCAGACCTGCGACTTCAGGGATGGCGCCACCCACACAATGTAGGCTTTCCCCTTTAGTAGAGACTTTCTGGAAATGCCTTCAGCTACACCGCTTTACCAATCTCTCAATCCAAGGAAGTCGACAAGATCAGCCACCACAGTAACCCGTTCAATAGTACTGGCTATATTCATGGTCTTAGGAAGCTAAAATCACCACTCTTTTAAAACGTCTTCAGAAACTCTGTCTCCACTGCACTGGGCAATACTTCCCAGTCTCTGCTTCCCCAAGACCTGAGTGATATCTGTCTTTACACTTGGGTCTTTACATGTTACATTCGAGTATTATTACTTTTTTCTGTATGAATTTGTCTATTCTTTAAAAACTTTCTTTTACATTTATTTATTTAGCATGTGCTGGAGTGTGGGAAGGGCACAGGATGGAACTTCCTCCTTCCATTGCGTGGAACTTCGGTCATCAGCCTCAGCAGCAAGCGCCTTTACTTACTGAGCCATCTTACTGGCCCTGCAGTCTCCTGTCCTTAATAATTCCTGTAGTGGATCATGCAGTGTTGTCCTTCATGCCCAATGCCTTTCACCTATCATAACATTTTTAAAGTTAATCCTGATTATAGAATGTATGAAAACTCCACTAATTTCTGTGACTGGGGAACGTTCCATTTTGTATACACCATGTTTTATTACCCAGTTATATGTTAATGGGTACTTGAGCCATTCCTCGGATGAATCTTGTAAAAAAGAAAAAAAAAGATATAAAATGGGTCTAGAGAGATGGTCCAGCTGTTGAGAGCACTTACAGATCTTCTAGAGAATCCAGGTTCAATTCCTAGCACCGAAGGTAGGTGACTTCAGGGGAATTGCACATCCTCTTTCGGTTTCTCTGTCACACATACGTATATATTCATGTACGGACACACACATAGACACACGTACACACACACTAACATATTTTTAAAGACAGAATAATTCCTTCATTTTCTTGTTTTAAATAATTTTATGTTTGGACAAAGATTGCATGTTGGGATTTCTTAATTCAGCCATCTCCTTTCCGGAAGGGGAAACTGAGGCACTGACATGACTAAATGACTTGCTTTTGGTCGTTCTGCCACTAAAATAAAGCTGGAATCTTTTCCTGCCACTCTCTTCAAGCAGCAGCATGTGGTAAGTGCATGTCAGCTTGACTGGACAACCTTCTCCCGAAGAGGCAAACCGCGCCCTCTGCAGTGAACACAAGTACAGACCCAATCGTCTCTGCAAAAGTGGGCTCCTTCTTGCGAGTATGCTCTTGATTAAGAGATAGTTACCATGCATATGAAAAGGCAGAAGGGACCATGTACAGTTTTGAAGACTAGGTCACAAAGGCATCAAAGCTCCCTGCCTGCTGCTCCTTCTCTAGATTTCCTGCCCTGTAAGGACATTTTCATAGTCACCACTGATGCCCACATGGCAAGGAAGTCAAGCTTCTGGTCACGGCCAGTCCACGAGGCATCTCAGAACGAATCTGCCAATCACATCCAAGCCTCAGATGATCTCTGCTCAACTGCTGGACCGCTGACTCATGTAAGACCCTGAAGCAGAGCCTGCAGATAAAACACTCTGAGTCCTCGCCTTTATGCAATGTGTGCAGGAAACGTTTGTTGTTTCGGTGGCTAAATTTTGGGATAATTTCTTAGCCAGCAATAAAACACTACCACGCTCCATCATCGCCGTTCTCACGCCTGCCCTTCACTAACGTCCCCCTGATCTTAGTAGTGAGCCTTCCTCTTCTGTGGTGCTCAGGACTGAACCAGGGCCTCGCGTACTCTTACCCGGAGCCCCACGATATATGTTCTTAGGGCAATGTCTCCCTTGTTTTTCATTTTAAAGTGTTTATTATTACTGTGTCTGTGCCTACGATGTGGGGGATGTTTATGACAGGGCATGCATGCCAGAGGACAAGTCCAGGGAAGAGTTCTTCCTTTCCACCCTTACATGGGTCCTGGAGCCAAACTCAGGTTGTCGGGTGTGCATGGTAAATGATTTACCCTCTGAGCAGTCTCACTGACACTAACACATTTTTAAAAAATCTCTGATGTATTTGTTCTTATTTGTGTAACAGATGTGTTGAGAGATACTTCACATAATATAAAACTGGCAAATCAGAAAAAAATGTTGCAGTGCCTCTATTACATGCAATCTGCCCTTTTCACCACCTTACTGGTAGCCCACTGGGTCCATCGTGACCCATTCACCTACCCCTGCTGCTGAGTTCCTGAACTTCAACCATCGCAAGCTGAGGCCCCACGCTCACATAGTTTTAGAAAGATCAATTTTATTTTGTCCCTCAAATCTGAAACACTCACGTGGTAACAAAGGGATGAGTTTGCACATTAATAAACAAAACTTTCTGTAAAGGCAAACACATTAGAAAGAACTAACATCAATATTCCTAAAGATAGTTATAAATCTTTTCTTTTTGTGTAAAACATGAAAATCTAAGGAGATAGGTCCATGCCATTCTATTTGTTTGATTAAACAGAATCTCTAGCCATTTTAAACATGACTGTCTGAAAGTCTTCTTTAACCCACTCAAATGCTAACATTTCCAAGATAGCCCACGATCAAGACAGCCCAAGAGCTAGAACTGAGGGTAGCTGCTCAGAGAATAATAAGGAAAATTCAAATAGGTGTTATGAAGCAGAAACCTTTGGTCCCAGAAGACTGACAGCCACTGACAGCTGTGGGACAGAAGGGGCATCCAGAGTCACCTCTGCCATTGCTCTGGAGCAGGAGGTGGCCTGGTGGTCAGCTATCTGCCAGCTCAGTTGCGTAAAGGTTGGTAAAAGATGTCATTAGCTTTAGCACCATTTTCTTGTAATAGTTTTATCACAATAAAATTCAGACTATTAATGACCAGAAAATACTGCTACGAACTGAAGGTGGCTGTACATGAGGACTTATATCATATTATTTGATGGTTTTAATTTCTGGTGTTCAATGAAGAATGGAAATAGAGATTGTTGGCAATGGAGAATAACTAGGAAAAATGATTCTCTTTTGTCTCCCTGGACAGAACATCACAGCCCTGCCATGTCGGGCCAGAGACTGTCCAGATGCGCAGCTCTTGCTCCCACCAGGGTGGAGGGGGCAGCTTAAGGACAGACTAGCAATTTACACTACTGTTGGTCAGCTCATTCGACAAAGGATCTTTCATGGTGAGTCTTTCCTGTTTCTTCAGTTCATTCATTCATTTAAAAAATATACTGGGTGCCTATTAAATCCCTGGCCCTGCCGTGGGTGTTGGTGATAAGCCTTGAACAAGGCAACAGTGCTGATGAGAAGCAGCTTTGCATCTGCTTTTGACACTATATTTGCTATCTGGGTTTGACACTCTCTGAGGCTAATCTGGATGGAGTCACATTGGTAGGAAATAAGAGGGTCTGAGAAAAGGCTGAAGATCAAATACTGTATCCTCATTCTTCAACCCCAGAACCCCAGTATGAGGCAGTGAAACAGAGAATGAGAGGAATAGGGATGGCGTCTCCCTGCTTTACTAAGGCCAACATACCAGACATTGGTCAGTCCCTTTCTCAAACTGCCCCTTCCATCACCTCAGAATGAAAGTGCTTTCCTGGCTCCTCTTCCCACTGATTGAGAAAACAGCACAGATCATTGCGTACTGCTCCCATGCAGCTGGAACAGACCTGCTTAGCAGATGCCACGGACCCACAACTCCCACGAGCATGGCCACGGAATGACCAGTCTACCTCCTCTGGACGGGGCTTGGGACTCTCCCAGAGCTCAGGATGCTCAGAGTGGAGGGGAAAGTGTCCTCAGGGAAAGGACAGTGAAGTCCAAGGGCATAACAGAAACAGAGCCACACAAGCTGGGGTGGCGGAAGTCTAGACAGATTGAGCAACCGCAGGTGGGGGAAGTAGGAGAAAAATGTATTTAGTGGTGGTGGAAACCTAAGCCAAGGCACAGGCATCCTCCGTGCTGGCTTATTACAGTGGGCTTTATGCTCCACAGCAAGGTGAGTCAGTGAGCGGTGGCCCATGGGTCATGGATCTGGAAAGCTGAACGAGATCTCACAGGCACAGAGCCCTCACAGCCAACAGAATCACCAGCAATCATCTGCTCCCCGCCTTTGTTACAAGACATGTGTCTTGCCAATAAAACTGGTTATTAGCAGAGGGAATTCTAATGATTGACTTGTGAAGCAAAAAGAGCCAGCTGCTCTGGCCTCAGGAACTCAGGGATAGCTTCCTATGTCAAGTTCCCAGCGACTGGAGTCTAGAAAGCAGGATGAACCCAGCCACCTTGGCCTCCAGACACTAACTCCAGCCAACAGCAGGATCCGTCCAGATTTTACTGGCTTTTGAAATGTTCTGTGGGTTGAAACTGAACTCCTTTGGTGGGTTATGTAGCCTGAGGGCCAGGTGAGGGGGGGGGTGACTTTTAGAAAAGACAGTAGAGCAGGGACCTGAGGTCCAGCCTGCCCATAAATGTGCTCCAGCTCCCCCCTCCATCTCTACATCCAGGGGCTCCAGACACCAGTATCCTTGGGATCACAGCGGGGGTCCATAGGCGGGAAGTAGGAAGGCACAGAGTGCTCGTGGTAGTGCTGCAGGCGGGAAAGGAGCTTCAGGACGATGTGGGGATGCTCCCGGGACAGGTCGTGTTTTTCTTCAGGGTCCTGATCGATATCAAACAGCCAGACAGTCTTGGTTGATGAGTCCAGCGAACGGATCTCAGAAACGTTGGACTGAGATGGAGGCGGGATCCAGTGACCACAGCCTGGAAAAAGACATGACACTTCAGGGACAAGAAGCTCTGCTGGTGGGTTCCAATCTCAAGGCATCTGGGGGACAAGGCTGCCCTCCCTGGCTGTGGGTATGGTCAAATGAAAAAACAAAACAAAACCCCCAAACCCTCACATCTCTGGGTGTTGATTCTAGATTTGTCTCAGAATATTATAACCAAGCTTTAATGGAACAGATCCTATTGCTTAACAATAAGGGACATCAAAAATATGTGTGGGGTGGTAGCCGGAGGGGGATTTTAGTTGTCACAGTGGTTGGGGAGGGTAGGGGATAAAAATACACTCCCAGTAATTAGCAAGCACAGCACAGTGCAATACATGGGACAGTCCCAAGCAATGAGTTGTCCTTGTGAACACCAAGAACACTCACAAGTTAAGCATGGCTAAACTGCATCAGAGCCTGTGAAAATACGCCAATGTGTCCCTTTCTGAGAATCGGGTAGTGGAAGCAAACACAGCATTGGTGGAGATTCTCGGCTAGAGCTAGGTGTGCTGTGTTTGAAAGTCACACATGTCTGAAATCCACGCCTATGAAGTATTCAAATAGGATTTTCTCCTCTTGCCCCTACTACAAATAACTAAAAAGTGAGACGAAATTAAAAAAAAGTCAGAGGAAGTTCAGTTAGAGCAGCTGAAGCCATTCCTCCATTCTGCAGCCTCAGAAAGAACGTTTTATGATTTTTTTTTTTAAGGCAGCCATAATTTTGGTGAGCTTTCCCTTGCCATTCTTTCTGGGGGAGAGACTCCTTAGGCCATGACAACAGCAGAAGTTGTGCAATTCTGACCAGACAGAGGCCACGAAACCCCAAGCAGATAGCTGCTTTCTTAAGATCTGCAGGGAGCATAAAAGATCTGAAGGCCTAGTTAGCATTTCAGATGTCTGAGCAAACTGAGGGGGTTTGGCAGGGAGCCTTGAGGAGCTAGGGAAGGAAGAGAAGGGCTTAGAAGGCAGTGATAAGACCTCCCTTTCTAGGGAAATAGCCCAGAGAATGAAGTCCCAAGAGGACAGAAAGACTGGGGGCACAGCCCCTGCTCTGGCAGCTGTGGGAGGGGAGCTAAGCAGTCTACCTGGGTAGCCCGTGAGGAGTTTCCAGTTTTTGTATCGAATCCCGGCATGGATCGATGTGTTAAAGGCAGAATATTCTATTGGAAAAGAATCGTTCTTTTCTGCAGCCATGCTCTGGCCAGGACCTGGGGAGAAATAGTTTGAAAGAATTAGACGGCTGTTATTGGCCCGTGTCATTATAAATCAACATTTTATACCCTTCTTGCCGAGCAGTAGCTTTTGTTCAACGCCAGAGCACAAATGTGTGCCCTGCCACAGAAACGAATCTTTTATTAAATATAAGCAGAAAGTATAGTTACATTAGATGTCAGTCATAAACCACCACGAATATAAAGGAAACCCCAAAGAGATTAGAAGACTAATCCATCCTTAAAATCACTGCTTCTCGCCAAGACACAGAGGCCATGTGCAGAACAGTGTCGGTTACAGCAACTGAGCTGGGCGGTGCGTGCGCGCGCGCATGTGTGTGTTCTCTTTACTCTTAATGTTTAAGGGGAATACATTTTCTGTGAATGCTTGTATCTTTGCACATAGCATATCAAATTATAAACGCACATTTTATTGCAGTATGTCTCTCTCAAGCCAGGAGAGGTTAAACACAGCACAAAAACTGAGGATACATTTATTTTTAAACCATTCATGAAATTTAAAATTTGGTGAGCAATTCTTTTAACTATTCACCAGAACAAGTATGGTTATATCAATTATTAGGAGAGAGCATGGATGATATTAATTTATCATTTTAAGGTCTTTCAGCGATTGACCAAGCTCCTGAGGGAACAGTCATTAATACCCCACCTCGAGTTTAGAACCAGTTAAGAGACAGAAGACAGACAGATGAACCTAAACTATCACTTTTGGGACTGATAAATCAGCTACAGAGGCACAGCTTTGGGTCACCGTGGAAAGAATTGCTAATAATTGACCCTTGGCTTCCTCAGCCACCACCACTGAGCTTGCTGGACAGACTCAGGGTTCTCTTAGAGCACACAGTGAAGGCAGATGCTTACATACACCCGGCGCATGCACTGGCTCTGAACTTAGACCCAGAAAACGTCTCAAACTGAGCATGCTCAGTCTCTTCTTCTAGGCTAACTTCCACTCTCATCTGCTGCTGAGAGGAATGCACTATGTGAAGTCAAGTGCAACTTTAGCTGTGGACATTGGTTGACCCCTGAGGGCAGGGGATGGGTGGGCTCGTGGCTATGAGTGTATATTTACATATTTATAAGCTTCCACTTTACAAATTTATATATTTATAACCTTCCACTTTGGACCTCACTGTATAATATTTAGTCTGTTTTAAGCTTACATTTCTTTGCTAACTTTCCAAATACGGTCAAGGCAATTGTCCGGGGGGTGCTTCAGAAGGTTACTAAACAGGTTGCCAGCCTAGTGAGTAATTACCACCATGTATGGTTATGTCTATAAAAAGGCAAACTCAGAAACAACTAAACTGAACAGGCCTGGAGATGCGGCTCGGCTGCAGACACTTGTCTAGCATGTTCAAGGCTCCAGTACGGCCCAACGAAACTAAAACAACCAAGTGCACGCTCCACCAAGGTGGTGAAAGGGAGGTGGAAGTTCAAAACCCAGCTGGGTGAACAGCAGCAACGCTGTGTGCTGTGCCAGGGCCTCCATCCCTCCAGAGCTCCAGGGCTCGCTGGATTCAAGGCAGCGGTTGGCACAGACTCCACGGGCCATGGGAAAGGTGGGGGTCCTAACCCTTGTCAGTATTTCGGGTTTGGGAACGGATCGAGTACACATCAGTGGCTTCGATCTTAGTAAGCATCCGTAAGAAAAACCTTTCTGATTGCTTGGTTCTTTGCCTGCTAAATGTTTTGGCTGTAACACAGACGGATGCTCCTAGTGCTGGATGTATAGATGGTGGGGATGTATATTACAGGATACGGGTTCATGGCCCACAGGCTGTGCTAAAACTGTAATCCTCTCATCTCACCCCTCACAGGTTTGTATAAAGGCCCCGTTTCTATATCAAACCTTTCGGATGTTAAACAAAACAAGCATGTTTTGGTGAACATAAACAAAAGAAAGGAAACAGCTATCTCTGCCATCCTTACATTTATATACATTTTTTTCTTAAAACAAACAGGAACAGAAAATACCTAAACAACAAGTCTAAGGCTAAATGATGAATGATACTATTATCTCAGCTCTATTTTTCTCATATTGAGTGACTGAACGAAGAGGTCAAAGGATGCTAACACTCTAGAGCCACCACCAGTGAACAGAAGTTAGTATTTTGTCACAATTGTTTCAAAAACTTCTAATACATTTTATTTATTTTGTGTACATTTATGTGCATGTGGGTGTCAGTGTGAGTGTGTGCACATGTGTCTCTGCGGTATGTGGAGGTCAGAGAACAACTTGAAAGACTCATCCCTCCCCCGCTTTATTACATGGGCCCAGGGGATTGAACTTGGGTCGGCAGTTCTGGCGGCAGGTGCCTGTACCCACTGAGCCATCACCAGCCTCTCTCTAGATTTTCTGAGGAAAGAAGCTGGACAAAAGATCATGTTGGAGCTTCCTCTGTCCCCCTCATTCAGCTCTTCTTTCCATTGTTCCGTTTTCCACCTGCCTTTGCTGCTAAGGCTTGCACGCATCCTCCAGCCATTTCAAAGCTCAGGGCCATGTGGGTGTACCAAACAGTATACACAGTGTTGTTTCACATCTTACATACGTGTGTTATTATACATATTTACACCAAACACGTGTGCTGTTATACATATTCTGTAATTATCATTCCCTCTTTAGAGATTTATAATTATATATGTGCATATGTTCCTCTTCACTGCTTAACTTTACTATATAAAACACTACCTCTTGTCAATTGATCTCTCTGTCAATGTTCCCAAGCTGCTTGATTTAGTGTCTGTTATTGGTTATCCATAGTGAGTTCTGTTGTCTGCTTCTTATACACATGGGATGGGGTTTCTCTGGGGTCTGTGTCTAGAACTGACCACTTACAGGGTCCATGCTTTTCCAGTATACCAATGGCCCTCCTATCAGTAACATCCCCATTCCTCTGAGTCCTGGATCAACTAAAAATCCTTGAAAAAACATTCTTGAAAAAGTATTTTCATGAAGGATGCAATCAGCAAGAACCATTTTGTGTGTGTGTGTGTGTCAAAGAAGGGTTCTTACAGACACCTTTTTACATCCCTGTAGAGAAAATCAACATCACAGGTGCACAGCTTGGTGTACAAGAGGCTGAACATCGCTGGGGCTGCAGGACCCAGACAGGGCCTCCAGATGCTCCCTCCTCACTCCAAGGCAGCTGCTACTTAACTCTGCACAGCGAAGACGCTTCTGTCTGCTTTTAAACACAATGTGAACAGAGAGTATGCAGTATGTTACTTTCACTTCTGGTTCCTTTTAATTCAAACATGTCCAGTCTGATAAAATGTGTCCACAAAACGTGAGACTGAGATTATACGTAGCCTCGGGAATGGCCTCTTTTGGTACTTCCTCCACCCACGCCTGCCACTGGAAAGATTCTTTTGGTGAAGATCCAACACTCTTCTCTTATATTTGATTTTGAAACCCACGTGGGACTGATTTTTGTCTATGAAAAGAGGTAGGAATCAAGAATACTTTTTCCCCCCTTTTGAATATGGCTTTTAACTGTCTCAAGACCACTTAGTACAAAGGCTATCTTCTCTCCATTCATCTGCAGTGGACACCCTTTCCAGCCGCCCCAGGGGGGGATCTTGTCCCTAAATCTTCAATATCTAGTGGATTCAATCATGATGCTGGGAATGGCCTGTGTCTGTGCCAGGCTGTGCTTTGGGCATCAGCCACATGTGGCAAAATGAAGTATGGCTAGAACAACTAAAGCAACAATTTATTTATTTATTTATTTATTTATTTAAAGACAATGCCTCATTTTGTAGCCCTGGCTGGTTTGAAACTTGCTATGTAGACTAGGTTGATCTTGAATTTACAGAGATCCACCTGCTTCTGACTCCTTGAGTTCTGGGATTAAAGGCGTGCACCACCACGCCCTGATATTTAACCTAACACATGCTTTTTAACCTAATACATGTTCTACCAATGAGTTATACCCTCAACCATATACATTTAAGTATTTTACTCTTATTTTTTTTTTTAATCTTTCAAGACAGGGTTTCTCTTTGTAGCTTTGGAGCCTGTCCTGGAATTCGCTCTGTAAACCAGGCTGACTTTGAACTCACAGAGATCTGCCTGCCTCTGCCTCCCAAGTACTGAGATTATTTTACATTTTTTTGATACTATTAAAATGTCTTTCTAAAATTTCATGTTTGTTTGCTTCACTTCGGCTGTCCGAGGTGCAGACAACGACTATGCTGCTCCTGTACCGCAAACCTCTGTTGAAACTTGTTAGTTCTCGCAGCTTTTAAATTCTGACACATGCTTTAAAAATTACATCTGTTATTTAATGATTTATTTTTGTGGTGTGTGTGTGTGTGCGCACCAAGACATGCAGGTGAGTATCAGGACAATTGAGGGAGGTGGGTCTCAGGGGACTTCCAACATGTAGGCCCTGGGGACCAAAATCAGGTCATCAGGACTGGCATCAAGAGGCTCAGCATTCTACAATCGCAACAGATTTACTTCCTTGACCATCTGGGTGTCTAGTCTCCTTACTTTTGTTTTTTATTGTTTTGCCTAATTCTCCATACACGTCTGATACAAACAGTGAAATCAGAATACAGTCCTTATAGCTCTTGATCTACGATGACACCTGTAGGACTTTCAGAATCGACTTCTGATCAAGGTAAATAAGACTCCTCCTACTTCTGGCTTGAGCGCTCCTATCAATGAAGGAGTGTTAGTATTGTCTAAAAGCTTTTCTGGATTGATTCAATTATCACTCTTTTGTCCTTTGATTCATTGACTCTCATTAATTGATTTTTCAATGAAGGAAAAAAATCACTGAAAAAATCTTTCATTGAAAACTTGAAAAATCTTTGTCACTAATTGATCTTCAGATGTTAAGCAGATCTTCACCCTACATGATCACAGCATATAATCTTTACACATTTCTGGGTTCTGTCTGCTAGTATTTTATTGAGGATTTTTTTGTGCTCAGAAATAATGATATAATAATGATAATAATATAAGA